CAACCAACCAACCAGCCAGCCAACCAGTCAGCCAGCCAACCAACCAACCTACCAACCAGCCAACCATCCAACCAACCAACCAACCAATCAACCAACCAGCCAGCCAACCAACCAACCTACCAACAAACCAACCAACCAACCAACCTACCAACCAACCAACCTACCTACCAACCAACCAACCAGCCAACCAGTCAGCCAACCGACCAACCTGCTAGCAACAATTCCACCCGGAAGACCAAACCTTTCATAATCCCCACCATAGATATCTCTCACAAACTTATCTACACCTGATGAATCAAAGTTATAAACTGAATCTATCTTTAGTCGGCATTATCTCAATGATTGATGTTGAAATAAAATCATACCATCTATTTATTCATCCTTCCATCTATATCTATCTATCTATCTGTCTGCTGTCTGTTTATCTATCTATCTATCCATCCATCCATCCAATCCATCCATCCATCTATCCAACCAACCATCTATCTATCAATCAATTTATCTATTCTTTTATTCAATCAATCAATCATTCATTCATTCATCCACTCACCTGAATTATCACCCTCGGTAGCCAGTTGTATGGCCTCTTCGAAGGTCTCGCAGCCAGTCAGCAGACAGCACAGCCCAAGAAAAGTACCCCCACCTAAACTGGTTTGCGAATGAGTGAATGAATGAATGAATGAATGGATGGATGGATGGATGAATGAATGAATGAATGGATAAATGAGTGAATGACTGAATGAGTGAACTACTGAATGAGTAAGTAAATGATCAATTGCGTTTAAATGTGAATGAATGAATGAATCAATGAATCAATTAATCAATCAATCAATCAATCAATAAATGAATGAATGATTTAGTTTAGAAGAATAAAATAATGAAAAACAACAACAGCAGCAGCAACAACAACAACAACATTAACAACAACAATAACAACAGCAACAACCTTGACCCGCAGACCCTCTTATACTGGGTGGGCGACCTTACGGTGAGCATGCTGACCCCTGAGCCCACGTTGACGATCAAGTATGGGTAGGGGTCACTGAAGTCGTAATGCTTCAGCACGCAGTTGTCAGTCTCCAGAGCATTGGCGTAATAGTAGCACTCCAGCCTTGGATTCTGCTTGTAGATGAAGTGCACGCCCTGAATGAGGCAGTCGAGTTCGTCGTATTTGTGCAGCTGCAGGTTAACTTGGTCCCTGAAATCCGACTCGAATTTGTAGGCCCCACCGCCAGTGGCACAGATGCTGGTGGCCAGGCTTCTGAGGTCTTTGTCGCGAACCAATTGGACGAACGCTTTCATCTCGACGGTCGGGAATCGAATGAAGTGGAACGTTCCGGAACATCCGCCGAAATTTTGCACGGGTAGGGCTAGGTGCTTGTCCCGGATGCCGTTTTCACCGTAGGCTACGTTCCCTACCAAGTACCTGGCGATTGGTCAGTTGGTAACTAGTCAGTTGGTGATTGGTCAATTGATGAGTGGTCAATTATGATTGGTCAATTATGATTGGTCAATTATGATTAGTCAGTTCATGATTGGCCAACTAATGTCTGGCCAGTTTATGATTGGTCAATTAATATCTGGTCAGGTCATGATTGGTCAATTAATATCTGGTCAGTTCATGATTGGTGAATTAATGTCTGGTCAGTTCATGATTGGTCAATTGATGATCGGCCAATTACAGCTTGGAGATTAGTAATTGAGTAATACTGAATGGTCAAGGAATGTTGAATAAATAGTAATTATGAATAGTTGTTGAAGTGAGTGAGTGAGTGCTTAAACGAGGGTGAACTCGAAGAAGGGGAGTTCGCCCTCACTTAAAGAGGACGAACGCCTTCATCTCGACGGTCGGGAATTAAATGAAGTGGAACATTCTGGAACAACCTCCGAAATTTTGCACGGGTAGGGCCAGGTGCTTGTCCCGGATGCCGTTTTCTCCGTTTTCACACACACACATATATATATACACACACACATACACACATATATATATATATATATATATATATATATATATATATATATATATATATATATATATATATATATATATGTGTGTGTGTGTGTCTGTGTGTGTGTGTGTGTGATCGCCCCACCTATGAATCCTCTGCAGAACTTCCCAATGTTCACTGGCCACAGACTTGGTCCTCCTCCTCCGTCCGATGTTCTGTTGGTGGTAGGTTTCCTCTGCGTCCGCGGGCTCAAAGTACACCAACTTCGTGAGGGTGCCGCCGATGTCCATGCCGAACCAGGGCATTGCTGTGATGAGGTAGGAGATAGAGGGGTAGAGGGTAGGGGGTAGGCAGTAGGGATAGGCACACACACAAAAAATTAACTTTTTTTATTTTAAACAAATGAAAAGTTGGCATATACAAATTTATTTTATTTATTTATTAAATAAATAACCTACTCATTTATGATTATATTTTATTTAATAAATAAATAATTATTACTCATTGATAATTATATTTTATTTATAAAATAAATAATTATTACTAATCGATAATTATATTTATTTAAGATGAAGGAAAGAGGGATTGCATACGTGGTAGTGTTCCATCCCCTCGTAAAAGTTCAGTCGGAGAGATGTTACCCTTCTCTGGAATTCTATTTTGGTCTGCAGACATTTGAATTTCTGTCCGGCTAGACGTCTGCTCTGTTGTCTGAGTTGTTGTTGTTGTTGTTTCGGTTGTTGACAGTGTTATTGTTGTTGTCTCTGTGCCATTGCAGGCACTGTAATCAACTAGTGAAGCACCATCTTCCATCATATTTCCATTCAACTGTTGTTTGTGTTGTTGTTGCTGTTGTTGTAGTTGCTGCTGTTGTTGTTGCTGATCCATACTAGATACATTGAAATTTAAAGGAAACATCATAATGACATAAACAAGTATTAAATGTATGTTGGAGGGGAATGGATGTGAATTGTATGTTAGAGGTGAATGTATGTTGGGGTGCATGTAAGTGAACTGTATGTTGGAAGTGAATGAATGTGAAACATATGTTGGAGGGGAATGGATGTGAATTGTATGTTGGAGGTGAATGTATGTGAACTGTATGTTGGAGGTGAATGTATGTGAATTGTATGTTGGAGGTGAATGTTTGTGAATTATATGTTGGAGGTAAATGTATGTGAACTGTATGTTGGAAGTACATGTATGTAAACTGTATATTGGGTGTCGAGGTGCCTATATGGGAATTGTATGTTATAAGTGCATAGGTGAATTGTATGATATATGAATTATAATAAAATGACCCAATTAAATTAAACCAAGTTTAACCAATAAAACAAAAAAAATGAATGATTTGTATTAAAACTACCTTAATTGCAATGTAGTTGCACTTTGTAGGATAATAAATTACAAATTTTTATTAGTAATTTTAAAAAAATTAATAGATTTAGTTTAGAATAGATAGTTTTCCAAAAGTTTATTATCATATTATAATTATATTACAGCAAATAAAAAATTCATTTAAATCCATCTAAATTTTAAAAATTGAAACTGCAAAAAGTTAAAAATAAATACATGTGTTTGTCTGTTTGGAGAGTTCAGAACTTTTTTAACTGCTTGTTGGACAGCAGAGACTTTGCAAAAAATTCAAACCCGACAGAAGCTAATGCAATTGGAATAAAACATAATAAAATTAATTAAAAATAAATTGATTAAAAATAAATTAATTAAAAATAAATTGATTAAAAATTTAATGAAAATTATTCTACGGTGGCGAACTTATAGACGAAGGTAATGTTCGCGACGATTTTAACTCAGCGACGATTAAGCAAATGTAAAAGGCGGATTATGAAAAAACCGATTAAATAATAAATATTTAAAGGTTTAATGAAATGAAGAAAGATTTATTATTGTTTTTTATTTGTTATTTATAACATTTTAATTTTATTTAGATTAAAAATTGCATAAAACAATAAAAAACTTCATCATAAAATCGCTATATATTAATATACCAACGATAAGAAGAAAGTTAAAAAATCGCCAAAAACTTATTTATGTGTGCATCTAAAAAATATTTGCATCTTCTAATAGACAATTTTATTTTGTAAAATACCATATATAACAAAACTTTTTCCCGTTTCGTGCACATTTTCAAAAATTCGATTGAACGCGTTAACCCTACATTTCCAAATTTGAGTCATCGGTAACGAGAAAGTTAAAAAATTGCCAAAAATCCATTTATGTGTGCATCTGAAAAAAATTTGCATCTTTTAATAGACAATTTTATTTCCAAAAATACCATATATAACAAAACTTTTTTCCGTTTTGTGCACATTTTCAAAAATTTGATTGAACGCCTTAACCATACATTTTCAAATTTGCGTTCTCGGTAACAAAAAAGTTAAAAAATCGCCGAAAATCCATTTATGTGTGCATCTCAAAAATATTTAAATATTCTAATAAAGAATTTTATCCCCTAAAATACCATATAAAATAAAACTTTCTCCCGTTTTGTGCACATTTCCAAATATTTGATTGAACGCGTCACCCATACATTTCTAAATTTGCGTTCTCGGTAACGAAAAAGTTAAAAAATCGCCGAAAATCCATTTATGTGTGCATCTCAAAAACATTTAAATATTCTAATAGATAATTTTCTCTTCTAAAATAACATATAAAACAAAACTTTCTCCAGTTTCGTGCACATCCCCAAATATTGGTTTAAACGCGTCATCCATACATTTCTAAATTTGCGTTATCGGTAGCCTTGGTACACCTCTTCTTCAACTGTACTACTTAAAAGATGCATGGTGCAGTTGGTTTACATCATGCAATTAACGTCTTTTCCTTTTCCGTTCTAGTACTCTTTGGGAATTAGAAATAGATGACGAAAAATTACCATCATGCAAAAAGGGAATATTAGATTTGAGGCAATGTTTATTACAAATAAATTGATGTAGCACATGCAAATTATAATACATTATAAATGAAATATCAATACCTCCTGCCGGCCAATTGTTTTTAACAATTGCAACATTTTCATCATGTGATGTCTGAGTGGCTTGCCGTTGTGCTTCATTGACGACATCAGTGTTATCTACTTGCTGCAACAAACATTGTATGTCAGTTATATTATCTTGCAGTATCTTAAGGATACGATTGTTTTGTTATTAACCAATCACCAATCACTTGTTGCATGTTATTATGCTTTGTAGGTTTTGTAAAGATTCAACGTTGCCTTTGGGACCATTTTCAGTTAACCCTAAAAAGCATTTATTCCTCCGCAATAAGTCATGCAATCTGTAAATTTAATGTTATCATTAGTTTTTGACATTTTCGACAGTGCATTTACCGCTTTCGATTGGTGAAGTTATTTCTCTGCTTTAGGCTCCTGCAAGCGTGGCCAAACCAACCCTGTTCATCCAAACTAGACTGTAATTTAATAAAAATGTTGATCCGTTTAATGAATAATATGCATTGCACAGTAATTGAACTATAGTTCTTTAACGCGTGAACATTTCAATTTACAAAAAAAATATGTTTTTATTTTAGCTCAAAATTAACGAATACTAATGCAATTGTAGCAAAAAATGAAATTTAAATATTTTAAATTGAAAAAAGTTTGTGATGACTATAATTGTGAATAGTACAGATTGACAAGCGTATAAATTTTAACTATATATACGTGGTAAAATATAATAAATGCCTCCATTCGACTAATTCTAATATGACGCAGGATCATAAAAATAAAACTATTGACGAGCAACGTCCTGTTTCACTGACGGTATCTACTGCCGAAACATAAACATCTGGATGTACGCGAATCCGGTCCGTTTTGTGATGTAATTTTTATGTCACCTTGGGCCAAAAAACAATGAATGAAGTTGAGTCATCAACTACCACTACGTGTGAAATTAAAACAATTTATATTAGTATAAATGTAATTCTTTTCAGAGATGCCAACAAAAAAACTGGGATCTGGTACACAAATTTGTAGCAAATAACTCGTTTAAAAAAAGTAAAAATGCCGCGAATAAAAACACGAAAATTAAAACATTAACATTTTTTTAGAAAGTTCTATTAGAATTTAAACATGCAGCATAATTTTAAAAGTATTTTTTTAAATTTTATTCCGTTTCAAAAACATAATCTGAAAAACATCTAAAATTTAAAAAAATCCAAAAAGTACAATCACGGTATTCTATTCTGGTATTGTCATTTTGTGTTAATCAAATTATAAACTATACTACAAGCAAGAGCAGGAATGACGTTGTAACACATCAGATACAGGAAACTTCAAAACTGTGGTGCACTTAGGTTGTTTGCGAGATAATAACAAGGACCAAAAACTTCCATAATTAAGTTCAATACTTCTTTGCAGTTCCTGTTTAATTCACCGAGTTCATTAAAATTAATTTATAAATCAAAGTATAACACAATTTTAAAATATTCGATAAAATACTGTACAATTTTAAATTGTATTATAGTGTCAACAAAATAATATATAGAATCTTATACTATGCACCTGCGTCTCGAACCGTTATTTTCCTTATCAATCGACAGAGATTTAATAATAATAACGGTAAAAGAAATCTCGTATCGTTATAAAACGATACGAAAAATCTCGTATCCTTTAATAACAATACCAGAGATCTCCTATCGTTATTTAAACAAGACATTTTTAGGAAAGTCTACCATATCGAAATAAAAGACACAATTTTCGTCTCGTACCATTATTTCAATGTCTGAAAATGGTACAAGTGCACATTGTAAAAAAATAAAGAATTATAAAATATTAAAACTTATTTAATTTTTTCCAATTGAATGACTTTGGTTTAATAAAGACTCTAAAAATATCGTATTGTTATTAAAACGAGACATTCTCCAAAAAGTCTCGTATCAAATAAAAAATATGAACAAAACAAACTTTTGTTTAATTTTTTAATTGAATGGCTGTTTTCTGGGCGAAATGACTGGGTTAAGGTCGCCTGGTGCTGTTTCGCAGTAACCGGGTTCGAATGTGACAAAAGATCCCCGCGTATCACATGCTTCGTGTGTAATGCGTCGTTTAGCACGATGTTCATTTACGATGTTTTGCATAAATAATTTGCATAAGTAAGTAAGAGTGTAATTGACCTTTAACCTTTTTCTGTTTTAATACAGTACATTTTGTAAAGCGGAGTTGGCGGACAAACAACTAAGGGCAGACTGTAAATGTGCCATGAGTCATTGTTATTGCGCGGTGTTTTGGTTTAAATACTATCTTTCAAAAACTCAAAAATCATCATACAACTTGTGCACAAGTATGTGTACAAGTAATTTTATTATATCAATATATAGTCTTCAATACATCGTTATCGTATTGTTATCGTATCGTTATGTATCGTTTTCAAAATTAATTAATTTTAATTTTTAATAATTTCGTGTATTTTCATTAAACGAAAATTTATTAGATCAAACTGTTCAGCCGATTTGACATGATTGAGTCCGCCTGTTAGATACGCTTCATCGTAGCCGAAATCGTATCGTTTCCAAAAATTAACAAGACGCAGATGCTTATATAATAAAATAAAATTTTTAATTATTCCGTGTAATATTATTAAACGAAAATATATTAGTTCAAATTGTTCAGCCAATTTGACAATATTGGTTTCGCCTGTTAGATACACCAAAACCGTCGCGAACATTACCTTCGTAACTTATAGACGATTAACAACATTATATATATATTCATATAGTCATATATATATATACACACAAACACATCTTTAAAAATGGTCCACAAATTAGTTCGATGTTCGCCCCAAATTTTACCTTGCTGATGTATCATTTTATTCTATATATAAGACCTTTTTTATTTATTTTTTTAATTTCGTCCTCTCCAATGTAATGCAATTCAATTGTTCGTGATTGAGTTTTATCCTCTCTACGACTCCTCCCTCTCCCTCCTCTTGGTCCTCTTTAACAAATTCATAGTGTTGCTCTTTTACCTGTACATCATGTATCTCCCAAAGGCTTAAACTCTTTTGCTAAATCCGCACTTGCTTTTTCTGCCCCTTTTCTCTGGAACTCTCTACCTCTTTCTCTGACTACTTCTCCATCACTTACGAAGTTCAGAGCGGATCTCAAGACCCATCTGTTTGCAAGATTCATTGAGGAGCGCTGTTGAACATCGCGGAAATAGCGCTTCATAAACAAATTAATTGATTGATTGATTAATTGATTGATTGATTGAATGTTTTGTCTTTTTGAATGTCACTCTGTGGCTTTGTAATTTCGCATCCGTTGATGGGTGGGGTAGTATATATTTGTTAGAGTGTTCTAAATCAATTGACACATTTGGGGTAATTATGGCATTGCACGCACAATCTGCTTCTCTGACTGCTTTCCCAATTCCGCTTACTTTCAACCTTCCAAGAGTTGTCAAATTCAGTGCCTTTACTATGTTTTGATCATTGCAATAGGCCTCTGTTCCGCTATCTATCATGGCATTAAACCAGAAACTGTCATTGATGATAATATGAACGGATTATGAACAGGCCTCGTCTTAGCTTCGCGTATATCCTCCCCGTTCAAGGTACATGATTCTTCTGTTAATAAGTTTACCATTTTTGTTTCCTGGTTATTATCGTCATTATCCTGTTATTCGTTTACTATTTGACATTCCATTATTTGTTTCTGTATTGATGGGAATTTGGGCTTTTGCAAAAACGAGCAAGGTGACCATTCTCCCCACAGTTGTAACACTTTGCAGTAGCCCTATTTTGGCCGGTCTTTCTTTGATATAAAACTTTCCGCCTGCTGGTGTGTACTTCTGCTGCCCTCAAATCGTTTCACATTTTTGGCTATTTCCATACTTTAGTTCGAAGTGATTTATTGTTCTTGCCAGTTCCTCCCCTCGGAGCAAGTCCTGTGTTTTTTTGCTAATACAAATTCTAGTGTTGACTTAGGTATCATTTTCTTTAATCGATCGGCACATATTAGTTCTATTGCTTCTTCCAGGTTTTTTACCTCTCCACTCTTAAAGTAAACGAGATAGTACAGCAGTGTATCTCTTATTCTGTTTTGTCGTATCGAGTGGAATTCATTCCGTAGTATTATGGGAGAGAATCGTAGTTTTTTCATTAACTAGTTTTTGATAAGATAATACTCATCCACTTTATTTCCGTTCACATCATATTTGTTTGCTTTTTTTTTAATTATTCTAGCAAAACTTATATTAAGAGTCATTCATGAAATAATGGATCTATACTATGGGTACGGAAGAATTTTTCAACACACAAGTAAGCAGGTAATTCCCTTGAGTTTTCTGGATTTGCGCCAGTGAAAATTTTTAACGTCTGAGACCAAATGTTTATGTTTCGACAATCATCAGTTGCTTCTTTACTTTCTCTCTTCTGTTAAATGTTTATATGCTCCCTGTTCCTTTTTTGTTTGGATTTTTAATTCTTTCAATCTTATATCTTCTCTCATTCTTTCCTCAGCAAGACGAATTTTTTCATCATTTTTGACTAATTTTTTTCCATTTTAGAATATGCATCTTTCGCCATTTACTTATTGTTCGTTTATTATCTACACCACATTTACAACCTGAGGTAATCAGACTTCCAAGATAATTGAAGCTGTTGACTTGTTTCATCTGTTTACCATTAATGGTTATGGAGCAGATCAGGCGGTTTTGCTTTTACTTATAACCAAGCACTCTGTTTTGTTGATGTTAATTTGCAAGCCTTTCTTTTCACTTTCAAAAACCTGTTTGGAAACAATTGTTTGTAGTTTTTCTATTGAATCTTCAAGAGCTGTATCAGCAGCATATTTTACATTGTTTATATTCACGCCTCCAATAGATATTCCAGATAGATCTATCTTTCTCATGATGATCTCACTATAGAGATTGTACAGATCTGGAGAGAATACACAGCCTCGCCTAACACCTTTATTTATTTATTTCGACAAAACAAGTTATCTTGTTATCAACTTTCATCGCTGCTTTTTGTTCCCAATAGAGGTTTTTGATAACTCTCGTAACTTTCCATCAACGTCCAAATTTTCCAATATTTCTATAAGCTCCATTTGTTTCAAAACATATAAACATCAAGTCTTTCTTCATTTCAATCGCTCGTTCATTGATCATTCTTAGCATAAAGATAATAAAGATAGCGTTTCTTGTGCCACAATCCTCGACAAAACCACATTGGACATTTCAAATTTTAGATCTAACTTTACTTCGTGCTCTCATCATTAGAATTCTCAAGTGAAGTTTTGTAAAACTCGTCAAGCTGATTGTTCGATATAGTTCGCATACGGTTGCATCAGGTTTTTTAAGCAATGCAAGAAATATTGACTTGAATAAATCTTCAGGAATATCGCCACTGTTATATAACTCATTCAAAATTGCATTTGTATTTCTGTTTTTGATCCTTCCAATGATATCGCTCTTGTTATTAAACCATTTCTCCTTTGCCTCTAAGCATGTTTTCTCTATATTATCTATAGATCTGAGATCCTCGATATTAAACCTTTAATTCTTATTAAAAATGTAATTTTTGAAAAAATTATAAATAAAAAAATATTATTTTCTTTGAAAACAATTTGAATAATCTGTTTTGATTAATTGTAAATAAATGCTTTTATCGTCTTATTTAAAATAAGTTTCCGCTTCAAAATTATTTTTGTTAATCATTTGATCGATGACTAAAACTAAAAGCGAGAAATATTTACGTTAAAAATGGCGATTTTAAATTCAAAATTCGGCATATTATTAATATGTTTTTTTGTAAATTTGCAATTAATTTTTACATTTAATGTTGACATAAAAGCGCCGTTAGTAAAACGCGGGCCATCTGGTTCGTACTTCGGTTACTCAGTTGCCTTCCACTTGTTTAAAAATAAGACAATTATTACTTATCCAACATCAAAAAAAACTGCGTGGGTTATTTATATTTTTTTAATTTATTTTTTTTAATTTAATTTTTTTTAATTTATTTTTTTTTTCATAAATTATCATCCATTTAATCATCACCCACGTGTGTTGGCGTGTGAATGTGCGTTTTCCAATAAAAACATTGGTAGAAAAAGATCAGGATCTCCAGCAAAATTGAGAAAAAGATTTGTGGCCACTTAGTAAAGCTCTTCATGTTTATGTTTATGCTTCTGAAGTCTGGACACTGCGGAAGAAGATTTGAAAAAATTAGAGGCAACCCACATTCAATATTCAATATGTGGATCTAGATTTTAGACTTTTTAGTTTAGAGAAAGATCAAACGATTAGGTAGACCAAACATTGCAGGAATTAAAAGATTTTGGAGTTGATAAAAAATCTGATTGTATCTTTGTATCAGTATTGTGACAAAAGACCAAAAAACATGGATTTATTTATCATGTGCAAAGGGTAGAATCCTCATTCAGTGACATCTTTCAAGTTGTTAAGGAAGAAAAATTATAATTTATAAGGAAAATTATAAGGAAGGTCATGATCATGGAAAGATGGCAAAAGAGGAATTTTTTGAGGAAAAAAGAGGAAAAATAAAGAAAAAAAGATGGAATGTCATGTCAACCTCGGGGGTTTTCTTCATTCTATTTACATCTTTCAGGCCCAGACACTGATTTTTTTATACAGCTGAGCCAAACTTGTTTGAGGATAATAGATAGAAAATAAGATTAGAAAATATATAGGTAACAATGTCTTTGGACATTGTTACCTTTGGAATGTTTTTGGATGGAAGTGGATGAAGATGCGTATGTGATATGCAAGCTTTTTTCTTTTTCCAATATAAAAGAATTAAAACAATGGGATGTATTCTCTGCTCTAGAATTTAATGAAAGAGATAATGTATAAATAGATTAATATAATAATAACTCAGAATCATTTGATTCGATCAGACAAAAAAAAGTATGAATAAATAGGCGATCGTTAAGAAAAAAAAAAAAGAAAATTAATTCTTGTGGGCTCAGCCACCTGTAACTTAAGACAGCCGTTCAATCTCAAATCTTGTATTAAATATAATAAATGGTAATAAATTACTGAAATATATACAAATTATTATTACCCCTCCCACACATAGGCTGATGGTTGGGGCTCCAAGGGGCAACATACTCCACAATAAATACGATGTAAGGTTCTTAAATGCCAACAGACCCGGAGTTCTCTATAGATGTGAATTTGACACCAATCCTAATTGCAATCAACTCGAAATCTACCGATGTTAGCCTTTCGGCTTTATTTTTCATGTTTATCTATTTCTCAAATTATTTAATTGATTAATTTATTTATTTATTATATTTATTTATTATGTTATGTTATCTCTCAAATTATTGTTATTGTTATGTTTATATTGTTTTTATTGTGTTATATTATTTATTAGATTATATTATCTCTAAAATCATAATAATGCTTATAATTCTTCTTATTATTATTGTTTTTGTTATTATTATCATTAATTTTGTTTTTAAAATATTGCTGTTGTTGTTGTTGTTGATGATGATGATAATGTTGTTGACGGTCATGATGATGATGATGATGATGATGATGTTGTTGATGATGATGATGAATAGAAATTGGAAAATTACATTGCTAATCAGCATACAATTTGTGTTGTGCACATGTAACAACAACAACAACAACAACAATAATAATAATAATAATATTAAGGCCCAGTAGAAAATTGCTCCAACTGTAATTATATTCATGCATTGTGTGTGAGCATACAAAACATTGTTTGCCATTTTTGTTTTTCTTCCTATTGGTATCATTGTTTTTTATTTGTGTAATTTTTATTATTGTTATATAATAATTATAATAATTATTACTGTTGTTTTTTATTTGTGTAATTATTATTATTATATTAGTTATTATTATTATTATTATTGTTGTTGTTATTATAATTATTATAATTATAACCAATACAACTGTCTCTAATAAATGTTGTTATTTAGGCTATTATCAATCCTGTTTCTATTAATACGCCTACTGGCTATTTTTACAATTTATTTATACTTTTCTCGCCACTGTATGATTACTACTACTACTACTACTACTACTACTACTACTACTACTACTACTACTACTACTACTACTACTACTACTATACTACTACTACTACTACTACTACTACTACTACTACTACTACTACTACTACCACTACCACTACTACTGCTGCTGCTGCTGCTGCTGCTATAATTCATCACCATCACTATAATGATAATGATAATGATAATAATAATAATAATAATAAGACACTTGACAGGTGATTGTGAGAGTGATGAATAAGGTAGATGTGTGCCTTCACTTGTTATTATTATTATTGCCATTATTATTATTATTATTATTATTATTATTATTATTATTATTATTATTATTATTATTACTATTATTATAATTAATGTTGTCAGGTGTTTTATTCTCTTCATCTTATTTTCTATCCTCATTGTTTTCATCAAAGGGTTGAGTTATTGCTATTATTATTATTATTAATTTGTTTTCATTGTTGTTATTATTGTTGCTGATGTTGTTGTCGTTGTTGTTGATGTTGTTGTTACTATTATCGTTGATGTTGTTGTTACTGTCGTTGATGTCGTTGATGTTGTTGTTGATATTGTTGTTATTGTTGTTGTTATTATTGTTGTTGTGGTTATTGTTGTTGTTGTGGTTATTGTTGTTGTTATTGCTGTTGTAGTTATAAAGTGAAATTTTTTTAGACTTCCTCCACTATTTGGCTTCTACCATTTTTAACCTTTAAAATAACAAAAAAAGTCCTCTCCTGTGTTATACATCAAATAAAGCAGTCTTGCCTAATTCACTTCATGTACATTCTATAACAACAACAACAACACACGTTTAGACGACATTTTCCCCGAGACCGGGGGTTGCCGTTTGGCTACCTATGATGAAACCGAAATACTCCTCGACGCCATCCACATCTGTCACTCGCCTCAGTATCACGCAACCCCGCTTTCACCCTGACATTCTCCACCTGCTCTCTCCATCCCAATCGCGGACGACCCTTTCCTACCACTCCTTCAACCTCGAACTCCAACGCTCGCCTAATCCCGACCCTTTCATCCCTTCTCAACACATGTACATTCCATACTCTAAATAAAATTAGAATTTAGAAAAATCATTCTCCCGCCAAACCACAACTCTTTTTATAAACCTTGAGCGGCGCCATGGTGTAATGGTTAAGGTGACTGGCATCGTTGATGCAGCGTCCGGGTTCGAACGCAAAAAGATCTCCGCCTATCACATGCAAAAGTGTGGGATGCATTGACTCACGTGTATTTGCGCCTCAGTCGCTTGCCATAGCGCTATACAAAATAAAATCATTATTATTATTATTTATTATTATAATTATTATTATTTATTATTATTATTATTATTATTCGCTACTTGTAATTATTAGAATGTAAATTTAAAATTAGAATGTAAATAATTGTTTTTCCGCCAGATCACAACTCTTTTTATAGACCTTCTCTAAAATAATAATGATAATAATTATAATAATAATGATAATAATATGAATAATAATAATAATAATAATAATAATAATATGAGTAATAATAATATGAATAATAATGATAATAATATCTAACAAATGCGTGCTATGTAAAGTTTATAAGCATGTCTGGCTCTCATGCCAACATAGGCCATTAAAAGGACAACTT